TCAGCTGATGGGAAGCAGGACTGACCCTGGCAGTGCATATCCCAGGGCGCTCTTGCCCCTCGCACGGTGCAGGCAAAGCGCGAGTCAGTCTGGCTGTGGCTCCTGACCAGCGCGCAGGAGCACGGACCGGGCTGCCCCTCCTCTTCACATGCAACCAGGGCTCCTAGTGCCGATCGTGCTCCGCCTCCCAGCAACTCCCCCAGCCAGGCTGCTGGGCACCCAGTTGGAAAATCAGAAAATACCGGACATGTGCAATGGATTTTTTTTTTACCAGAGAGTCCCCAAAAACCAGACTGTCCGGTAGAAAACCAGACACCTGGCAACCCTATGGGTGATATAGTTGGTGTCTCCCTGCTGCATTTCAGGGGTGGGGAGCTGAGTGATCTCTGCTCTCCTGGGCTTTGCAGCACTTGGGGTGGACTTGGAGTGCACTTGCTGTTTGGCGCCCCCTGGTGGCACTACATGCAAAACATTTCTGGGCCATGAAGACGAGTGGCTATCCTGTAGAACAGTGGTCCCCAACCTTTTGGGGCTGTACATGTGCCGCGTGCCCGGGGCGGGGGCCGCGCATGTGCCGGATGCCCAGGGCCCAGGACGCAAGAATGGCTCAGGCTGGTCACTAGGCGGGCGCACAGAAATGCCCCGGTGGGCACCAGGGCAGCAGTAGGGGAGGAAGCTGCATGGGACGCTGAAGACGGAGGGCGTGGGGGGAGGGTATCCAGAAGCAGGGAAATTGCCAGGTGAGCACAGAAGCGGGATTAGGGCAGGAGGCAGCAGCAGGGTTGTGTGATAAGCACAGGGAGAGTTTCTAGAAGAGGGGAGTGCAGCCCTGGGGAGCATCACTCAGGGTTCCTGGTGGCCTGGCTTTGTCTGAAGCATTCCCACCTGCTGAAGAGCAAGACCTTCCCTGTCTGAGGGGACTCACACTGCAGTGATCCTGGCCGTGACGTCTTCTGACTCTCATGTGCAGTCTCCTGCCTCTTAACTTGAAACTGGAACAAAGCCTTACACATCGGTCATTTTGGAAGCTGGTTCGTTTTTCCCTTTTAACCCCAAGTGCACCCCAGGCCCTGGAAGTTGGACTAAGCCCAGCAGTAGACTGGCAGGGAACACGGCAAGGCAGGGCAGAGTTGGATCTGCAGCGCTGTGCACGTGGGTGTGAGATTTGCCCAGCTAGTGTCCGTATTGCCTGGCTCAGTTGGCCCCAGCCTACTCCCACCTTCATGCTTGTCCACACACCAAACTGGACTTCTCAACCACCCCGCCCCCCGGTAGGGCCATGGGACTGAAGCTGAGCCCACCTGCCTCAGGCTCTGCCCCTGCTGAAAGCGTGTATGACACTGGATCAGGGCAGCCCTTTGATGTGGCCCCTCTTTGATCCCGAGGGAAGGGGGCAACAACAGGGCTCGGGTTGTCTGTGCACGGCCCAGGCTCCCTCCCTTGTTTTGGCAGCATCCCTAGGAAGTCGTTCCTGGAAGCGGCTGGAGAGCAGCTGGCAGGGTTGGGCTGTGGATGCAGGAAGCAGCTGAGCAGAAACAGGCCTCCACTGCCCCCTGCTTCAACCCCATCGGTCCGTCAGCTCTGCCAACGGCCTGGGAGGCTGCTGCTGCTCCAGAAATAGGGTGGGGGAAGAGAGATCCTCCTGTCCCCACCAATGCAAAATACCACCCCCTCTGGGCTCTCTCCTCAGGGCACCCAGGGCAGCTTTGCACATAGCCTCATTCACATTCCCTGTAAAAACCTAACGTTTCAACAGGCCTCACCCAGAA